GTGGAATTTTTCATTAAATTAATGACTTTGTGTAATTAAATTTAAATGTTAATATTTAAAAATAAGAATGGAAAAATAAATGCATGAGGATATGTAAAATAATGCAGAAGGAACTGTACAGTATTATAAAAATCTGATAAAATGTCTACCAGGGCAACAATTAAAAATCAGAATTAGTATTTTAAATACTAACTGCTAACTAAAATAATGCTGTTTTGGCTCTGTTTGGATTATTGTATTTCAGATTAAATTATGTATGAAAACATTTTAGTTAAGCAATTTGATTAATAGTTCTTTGCAAAAACAGGCAAACAGTTATGTTCTTCTATTGTCTATACTTTTCTGTTTCATTCAAGTTAACAACAGCTTCAAAATAATACTGGGTTAAACCATTGGACTGGATTAGAATTTTGGCCTATTTAAGCTTATTTATTAAATTATTAAATTTGTTTGCCACCCATCTTTTCACAAGGGGGCTCTAGGTAGCTTACAACACTAAAAGCAATAAAACCATAACAATAATTCTAATAACAATACAAATTATAATTAAAAGGCGAGGAATAGAGCAGGATGCTCGGGGGAGGAGATGGGATCTTTTATTGGTTCATCAATCACCTCCAGTATACTAATTCCTTGGGACCCCAAGCCAGCTGGCAGTGCCAGGTGTTCAGATCCTTATGGAAGGTCAGGAGAGTGGAAGCAGATAGAGTAGAATAGAACAGAATATAATAGCTGCAAGGGACCTTGGAGGTCTTCTAATCCAGCCCCACGCTCAAGCAGGAGAACCTATACTATTTCAGTTAAGTGGTTGTCTTGGGTTTTTTTAAACTTCCAGTGATGGGAGCACCCACGATATCTGAAGGCAAGCTATTCCACTGATTAATTGTCCTCACTGGAAGTTTCTCCTTAATTCCAGATTGCTTCTCTCTGATTAGTTTCCAACCAGTGTTTTTGTCCTGTCCTCTGGTGCTTTGCAGAATAATTTGATCCCCCTCTTCTTTGTGGCAGTCTCTCAAGTACTGGAATACCGCTATCATGTCACTCCTAATTCTTTTCTTTAGAGATCTCACCCTGGAGCTGGGGGGAGATGTTTGAAAGGGCAGGAACCATGGCATATATTGCTCCCCCAACTAGAATACCTTGTCAAACAGGGTCCAAAGCATGCCTTTTCTGCCAGGTGAATGGGGCAGACCAGTCCCATTGGGATGAGACAATTCCTCAGGTAACCTTGACCCAGGGCATGGAGGACTTTAAAGGTGATAACCAAAAACTTGAATTGCACTCTGAAGCAAACTGGCAACCAGTGCAGTTTGTGTAACAGTGGTTTAACATGAGCCACTCTAGGGGCCCCAAGGACTGCTCACACCAGCACACACTGCACCAGTTGTAGCTTCCAAATGCTCCTGAAGGGTAAGCCCATGTAGAGCATGTGGCAGTAGTTCAGGCATGAGATGACCAGGGCTTGAGTGATTAAGCAGAGACTCCTAATACAGGAAGGGGTGCAAATGACACACAATATGAAGTTATGCAAAGGCTCCCCTAGCCACAACTACAAGCAGCAGTCATGAGTCCAGGAATTGCAGACTGGTGCTATCTGGGATAATGACATCTCATCCAGAACCAAATGGTGGCAGATGATCTCAATGGCTTCATATAGATTTTTAAAAGTGTTAAGAGAGTATGAAGCTCTGCAGCGTGCTACATAAAGCAGGCATGGATTGGAATCTTTCCCTATCAACACCAATTGGGCCTGACATTGGCAAAAAAAGCCAAATCAGTGCAAGATTTTGTTGCCTAGCCCCAAACCCCAGCTTCTTTTGGGGGGAAGATTGTGAAAAGTAATTGTACAGCAACTGCAGAAGCCTCTGGACGAAGTGGATTATATACACCTCTTTTAATCAGGATTCAGACCAGGGTTGGGCCTGAAACGGCATTGATTGCACTCATGGATGACCTCTGGAGGAAAGGTACAGAGGTACTGGATCCATCCTGGCTCTTCTTGACCTCTCAGAAGCTATTCAATTCCATCAATCATGGTATCCTTCTGGCTGGCTTTGAGAATTGAAGATGGGAGGCACTGTATTGTGTTCGGCTTCTTCCTTTCTCTAGGGACTGTTCCAATCAGTGTTGATGGGGTAGGGAGGGGAAGAGATGCAGCTCACGACAGCAGAAAAGGACCTTGGATAAAGTGGATCATCTGATTCTTTCTCAGTCAGTTCAGGTTGGGTTATGGGATTGCGCCTTCAACCAAAATTACAAGATTAATTGTGGCCATAATTCAAGAGCTACCTGTACAAGCAGCAGTACAAATGCTGAAGTATTTCAAGCATTTTTTTTTTATTCCAACTTTTATTTTGGCATTTCCTACTCATCCCTATGGCCACATCTTTTTTTAAAAAAAAATTATTGTTTCAGCCTGCTTTTATTACAGTAAATATCTTTGGAACCATTGGTAATAAGAAATGGTATAAAATATTTGCAATTGTAATTAAAACAAGGCAATGAATAAAATAAGTCTGGTAGACAGTTGAGTAGTGTTTGAGCTTTGAAACAGCTGTCTGGGAATATGCAATAACATAGTTTAGTGGAAATTTTTAACATGTAACATTTTAAGGGTAGTTTTTCCACAGTTTTGGCAACCTTTGTAAAATATCTATTCATGGCTCACATTTAACATGGACTGGAATTTTAAGAGGTGCTTCCTCAGTTTAAAATTGCAGGGAAAGTTCTAGTTTTTTGGCAGCAGCCTGTGTGCTTCAGAAGTATTAAATCTGATGGTGCACCACTGTTACATATTGGTTGCCTGATCAACTAATAAACCCTCAAGTAAAGAATCTGACACTCTAAAGCTACTTTGAAATTTCCATTTGGAGTTGATGGAGCACAAAATACAGTGTATCTCAACTGTGTCAAGCAGCTCTTATTTACTGAATAGGGAGAAAGGAACTAAAGGGCATCCAAGAATAAAAAATGTTTGGCAGATATTATTCAACAAAAATATACTCTGACAGAACTATCCTTATTTATTATAAAGTTACACTATGAGAAACAATTTTGAAAGTATATGGTACATGCCAAAATGTACAGTACTATACATCAAAGTGCATTGTCACAACAGATTAACAGTATGTTTTCTTCTTTTTTTATTCCAGGACTGTGCAATTGTAATTCTTTTTTTTTTCCAGAATGGGAGTAATGTGGGGACGTGGCAGGACAAAAACAACATAGTATAGAAATAAAAATGCAACAGTAGTAGAAGCTAAGCCAAAACAGCTTCTCTAAAAATGTAAAGGCACTTTCACATGTACATACTTACAGATGTACATTGACACAATTAGGTAACAGTCAACAAGCAGGAAGATACCAGCACTGCAATCTATCTGACAGTCAAGGACAATACTGACTTGATTAGTACAGAGGCATTTAGCCTTCACTATGCCTGTAGTTGTATCCATTTCCCTTTACCTATATCCACTTACTATACTTGAAGTAGCTACAACATACCATCAAACTACACACATTTTAACTCAAGTGAATGCTCCAACTAGAAACATTCACTAAACTCACTGTTTGTAATATTTTTCTTCACTAAACAATTTCTACTATAAGCAGTATGGAAGCCAGTACGGTTATATTCAGACATACAGAATTTCTTTATGCACTTTCAAGATACAGGCACCACCTTTGTTACACCATATGGCCTGTTAATAACAACAATCACTAGGCTAGAATGCACTTAAAAGAAAGCTGACATTTTCAAGTTTGTCCCACAGGTCTCAGATTTGGTCTAGTTAAGCAAACAATTCTCAACCTTACATGGGTCACTGTCACATTTCACAAGTTTTATATTAGCTGAAGCCTCAACACTGAGTGTATGGTCTTAGTTAAGTTTTAAGGTAGAGACATGTCATAGTTCATTTTGGTGACCCCACTGAAAAATATTAAAGTTTTATTGTTTCAGTCTATTGAGGGCAAAAAATATAATTCAGCATACCATAGCTGAATATCCTTAAGTGGATTCTTTGACTCTCCTTAATGAATATCATTAATTTCTAATTTTGTTTGCTAAATAGCTATTAACTACAACATCTGGGGCACACAAAAATTCATGCCCCCAAAATAGGCCTGCAAGCTTTACAAAATATAATACTTAACAATAGATCAGAAATAACTACTGAGCAGCTGATTTTCAATACATTAGGAAACATCAACTTTTGTGAACTTCTTAGCTAAATGTAATTTCATTAATGTTAGCATTTTTATGATCACTTAACAAAATGAATCAACTTCACTTAGTAGCAGGGAACAATGCCTTTCAAATGTTATGTAATAACAAGTGTTTTCATATATTAGCTAGTCTTCTACATTTTGGAATTTCATATAGTATAAGAGAAAAATGTTCAACTGGAAGAAATGCAAGTTTCTATTGTGACAAGAGCTATGGGAAAAGAAGTATTTGGTTTCAATTTTACATGTATCAATGGATATAAACTGACTCTTCCCTACCCAATATTTCCCTAGACGGTGTTTTTTATTTATTTTGTGTTATTTTTAATTAATGACAAACAATAATGTCTCTTTTAGAGTGCAAAGATAAGCTATAAAACATTCAGAGAAAGGACATGGCTTAAGTGTCAGTTTGTGCAAGAGTTGTCAAGACAGATCACATATAACAGAAAAGTTCCTAATGATGTAGCACTATGCAAGCATTCACTCACAAAAAGATACTGACATAATTAGAAAAAAAATTCTGACCCATTTTATTCAGATTGTAGAACAGTAGAAAACAATGTTTTGCCCTGTGAATTAACTCTTGCCTTAATTGAAGAAGCTATTCCAGTTGAAAAAGAGATAATTCAATTTAAATAAACTAACAAAAAACACAATATAATTCATCTGTATGCACTGTGTTTCATAATCTTGAAGATGCAGCAGCTTCAAAACATTAAGTTACTCATTTAATTTGCAGCTGTTCAGGAATGTTTTGCTACAGATTATTAATTAAAACTTGTCCAGACAAGTAGCTCTTAGGAATGTAAACAGTTTTTGAGCTGAATTGATAGCAAAGAATTATATCAAAGATTCAGTGGCTAATGTCTAGTTTTATTGCACTGCAATAGGCCTGAGTGGAAGCATTAGAAACAACCCACTTTCTTCAATAGAGTCCTTCAACAGGGTCAGAATACAATGCTCAGTATTCCTGGTCAGCCTGTAGAAGGTGTCTGCTGGATATCAACCAGAGGAAGACCGCAATTGTCATTCTGACCACAGACTTCCACTGGTTTAGAAAACTGCTGTTTCTTAGAAGCAATTTTATTCCTCATATCCTTCAGTGAGCTGCACTAGGACTGTCACATGCATACTGAATAGCTACCACAGAAGGCAATGTCAAGGTGAGTCTCCTTTTTGCATTGACTTTGACAGGCTGCTTAGTAATTCTTAACACACAGCCTCAGACCTTCTGAAAAATGATCTGGAACCAGGCAGCACTCAAAATAAACCCTATTTCTTAAGAAATTCATTTCAAATAACCATAATTCTTTGTGAAGTCTTAAACTACACAAAAGTACACATTGTTAGTGTGATGACGGTGACTGTGTTTTCATCAGAAAAGGTGCAGTGTGGAGATTTCAAGTAAATGTGTGTATTCCTTTTGCTTTAAAATGGCACACACCACACGTGATTTCTTGCCTTTCTACAATACACTGGATCATGAAGTAACCAAAGAGACTGGTTTTGTGAAATGTGTTAAACTACAGCCCCTCAACCCAATCTAATCAAGCTCAGCATGCTGTAAAAATGCACTCGCTGAGTCTTTAACTGTGTTAAGCATATATTGCAAAAGTAGACACTGAATTTTCCAGTTTAAAAATTGAACCCAACTCCTGTTAAATACCCATGTTAAAGTAGGTCAGGACTTTAACATTTTAAAAAACAAATCTCTCCTTTCCTAAATATAAACTAATATTATACTGGAATTCAGATAACTATCACAGATACATTCTTTTGGTAGTTCAGTCCACACTTGGGTTCTTAGGGTTTTTTACATTGTGCAAGACTTGTCAGCTGGGCCTTGGGAAGGAGAAGAGGGGCCTATGCCTGGGTTTGTTTTTGGAAGAACTATTGGCTTTGGTCTCAGTGCAGGTGGCTTCAGCTGCACCCCCATTCTTGGTGTCATCATCGGCTTGAAGGTACTCATAGTATCACTGGAAGAACTAGTGCTACGGCGAATCTGAGGCTCGGCATTTCTTAACATGATACTGTGAAGAGGACTCAAAGATTCTGTTGAGGTGGTGCTGGTAGGAGAATTCTTCATTTGTTCTAAGGTATCAAGGACAACATCTGGAGCATGTTTTGCAGAACTCTGGCGTTCCAGTTCCCGAAGTTCATTTAGAGCCGTATTCATTGTCTCTTCAATATCCTATTAAGAGGGAGAAGCAAATATGTTGACAATTACTACAGAAATAGGAAATTCAAGCTTTATCAATACTCTTTACTTTTATATGAAGCAACAAACACATATAAATCCTGCATTTGCATAAATGAATTATTCACACAAATCATATACAAAATACAATAATTTACTTTGTCTCATGTATGCATATACACTAGCATTCAATCAAGTGATAAAGATTCTGAAAAGAGAGACAACTGAAAGAAGTATGAAAGTCCACCTCAAGCAGAGAATTAAAAAGCTTAACTGGGAAGAGAACAGACAAATGTTCACAGAAGACAAAGGAAAAAGGATATATGTATTTCATTTTATTTAAAACTGGCTTTGTAAATTAAACAGAAAACAGTTTAGCACAGTTTACTCACAGCAAGTGCAATACCAGGGATTTCCTGACTGGGTGAAATACAATACTGATGCTTTGATCAAAGTAAAAGTCTGAAGACCTTTATCTGAGCTTTATCTTTAGTGGAGCTTCCTTTATGCTTGTGAAGTATGAGGACAGGGACAGCATTTTCAAGCTATATTGTTGAGATATAGGTCATGTAAGAAGGCACAAATATGCATGCATGTGCATCCATTTAAAGTCTACACTGGAGAACAATTGGAGATAACACAATTGTACAATCATGTTCTGCAAAGCATTAGATGTGCAATTAGATTAGAACTGTACTTACTGTAACAGCAAAATATTGAAAACACAATACTAAAAAGCTGACGTTTGTAGCAAAAAAGAGTTTTCTTACAGAAATTTATGCAATACTTGAATAAAATTTAGGCACCAATGACCTATTTTGTATCAATCAATGGCAATTAGAAAGATCTTCACAAACAGTAATGCAGCTATACAAATATGGACAGGGAATTCAGGCTAAACTACAATTCAGAGAAGCTGAACAGCTGCTAAAGTGATTTTTATTATATGCCATCAAATCATTTTTGACTTTTAGCAAACACCTAGATCAAGGGTCTTCAAACTCGACAGCTTTAAGAGTTGTAGACTTCAACTCCCAGAATTCCTCCTCCAGTCATGTTAGCTCAGGAATTCTGGGAGTTGAAGTCTACAACTCTTAAACTTTCCAAGTTTGAAAACCCTTGACCTAGATAGATTTTGTCCATGATGATCTATCCTTAACCTGTCCTTTCAAGTCTCCCCATGGTGCACCTATTGCTACTATAACTGAGTCCATCCATCTTGCTGCTAGTTGTCCTCTTCTCTTTTGTTCCATCTTTCCCAGCAATAGAACCTTTTCCAGAGAGCTGAGTCTTTGCATAATTTTTCTGAAATAGGATACTTTAGACTCTTGTCATTTGCACCTCAAATGAGAACTCTGATTTTTTTAATGATCCAACAGCTTGTTTTCTTGGCTGTCCACAGTATTCTCAGGAATCTTCTCCAATACCATGGGAGTCAACCTTCTTCCTATCCTGCTTCTTTAAAGTCTAACTTTCAGAGTATACCAGGGAATACCATGGCTTGCAATTCTGATCTTTATAGGTACAGACACATAATGGCATTTTATTTTTTTCAAGGCCTTCATGATTCCCTACCAAATACTTGAGTGCAGTGAATTACTTGACTGCTTGTTCCTTTGCGGATGATGGTTGATTCTGAAAGGAAGGAACTATCCACTCAAACCTATTTACAAAATGTTGATGATATAACATAGCCTTCCCTAACTTGGCATTTTCTGGATATGCTGAGATTTCAACTCTTAGAAAGTTGAAATTCTACCTGCTTACCCCCTCCCCACATCCAACATATCTGAAGGGATTTATGATGATGAAAATATATTGCTTGATGCAATTCACCTCCCCCAACTGTTTGTATGTTAACAATACATACCTGAGCAATTGACTCTGGGTCAAGTGGTTTGTGGTCATTGAAAACAGGATATTGGCCAGATGAGGTTGATCTTCTAATTGGAGGGCTGTCCCCTTTTTTCAGAGATTCATGTCTACTAATGTTGGTGAGGCTGCTGTGGCCAGGTTTCCGTCTCCTTTCTGGGCTATCTGTGGTGAGGCTGTGGTTCTGAAGGGCAGCTCGAGAAGTAGTGTGACTTGCCATACTGGGGGAAACTAATTCCATTGAGGAATTAGTAAGGCCATGTGGTGTATGAACTGGACAATGTCCATCACTGATCCTGCCAGGACGTCTACCAGAAAGTGGGAGTTCAGATCTCTTGCGCTGCCTACAAGACAGGAAAAGAAAGTTTCAGAAGACAAAATAAAGAACATGTAAATAATTCTTTCAAAATCCTCCCACACCTGGCAATGATGCTACAGCATGATATTGTGTAGAATTTGAACTCAGAAAGTTGCCCCTTAAAATATTAACTTACACATTCCTTAATTTTCAAGTTTCTATGTGTAATAAAAATTATATATGTTACAGGCATTAGTGACTACTACATGTGAGAAAAATGAATTTTAATATTTTGAAGTGCAATATAAATGAAACAGATTCATTTAATGACAAATAATTGATTATATTTACCTTCCTAGATATACTTCAGAATTCAAATCTGTTGGTGAACTCATATCTTTGGAAGAAGATTTGTCTTCAAGTATTGGCCCACTGCTGGTTTCACTATCTGCTTTTTGGCTCAGTGTATCTGAGAATGTATCATCCCTAAACATAAAAAAAATCTTATTTTGCAAAATTAGGGTATATAGCTTTAAACAAGAAAAGTATGTTTTATTTCAGCCCCAGTTTTATATCCCCTTATTTCCATTTATCTTCTCTTCACTAACAACTGTTTTGCATGGGATTCACAAGGAAAAGCAATGGGAGCCAAAAACAATTTTTTATAGTGATGTTAACATGCAAATACTGCAATGTGCATATTTGCATTAGAGATTAGGATACATCGTGGCAGTATTTGCATGATGAGATCATTGTGTTCGTGTCATTTTGCTGTGATTGTAGTTTACTGTAGTTGCCACTGTTATAGTTACTGTTTTCAGAGGCATTTGTTACATGCATAATCAAACATTGACCAATACATGGCTATTAAAAGCCAGCCACTCTGACCAGAGTAGTTTTCAATTCAATATTAAGTTTTTAGATGCAGCCTTCATTTAAGATGCCTAACTAAATGACTTGATATATTCAAAATAATACAATTGTTTATTAATTGTTGAGTAAATAATGTATACGTTTAAATTAGTTTTATAAGGAGGCTGATGTTAAGAGATAGCAAACTAAAATTAAAATCACAGAACAGGAAATATGTTATCTTAGGTTATCTCTCTCCCAGAATGGCTGGGAGAGAGTAATCCTTAGTTGCACTTGCAACAGTTAAGCTGTAAAGATTTCTGGTATCCTGTAATTTGGAATTTAGACTCTGTGTAGATCTTCTCCCACCAGAGGAAAATGCTGGTCTGAAAAGAGTACCTCTGGCATTACAATACAATTTAGCTGTTTCTTACATATCTTGAACCACTATATATTGGTGGGGTACAAGGCCATCAATTCCATTATGTCTTCCTTCCCACCAATCATCAGAAGCTCGATGATATAAAAGCAGCGAGGCCCCTTTCTTAAAAGAGAGTTCTCGTGCAGATCTTCCAATATAGTCAAACTTGGCTATAGCTTCTATTGGATCACATTCTGTGAAAGACAAATCACAAGACTTTAAAAATATCTTATAACAGCAAGGGACATGAGTACATAATAAAAATTAGCAAAGCTGAATGAAGAAAAATATTATTATTCAAATAGTATACTTTGGGACCCAATAATCTCTGAGGAATAAAGCTATCTGGCTAGGACTAAAGGACTTCTTTTCATGGAATTACCTTATACAAAACTATGGAAAGACCACCTTGAAATATTGTACATAGTTCTGGTCACTGTACCTTAAGAATTCATTATAATTGGAAAACAGCAAAAAAGCACAATCAAGAAGACTAGAGAACCAGAATATCTGCCCTATCAGAAGAGATCAACCAACTGTGGCTATTCAGACTGAAGGAAAGAGAAAAACAACATGCATAATATGGAGATACAGTTGTCTTTCTTCTGCTCTTACGGTGTTATAACTTGAGGTTAACAGCTGAAAATAAATGAGGACAGATTCAGAACTGACAGAAGGAAATACTCTTTTACATAGTAAAATAGCAAAATTCACTGCCAGCAATCATGGTAATTGAAGATTCATGGAGGATCAAGCAAACAGGACTTCTAATACTCTGTATGTGAAGTTGTTGGTTTGAGCTCCAAGCTTGGCAATTTGGTTGCAACCAAATTGCCAAGCTCGGAGCTCAGACCCAACAGCCCAACTACCAACCTGAGCTACTTATATTCAAATACATTTCAACTATGTACGTGAATTACTTCTTGAATCCTAATCAGTATGTCTTCAGTACTAGTTGGAGGGAAACATAAGTTTAAATGGGTCTTCACTCTCCAGTTCAAACTTGTGAGTTTTTCCAATCTGGCTAGTTGCAGAATAATTGCCTACATTCTGTAGATCTATGGCAGGATCCATCAAGCTCTTACGAAAAATCTTTCTGATATGAAATTTTGATAAGCTCACACAATATTATTCTTGGAAAGTTTCTTTTCCTCTTTATAGAAAAAAATATTGGTAATTATAATAAAGCTAGATGTAAGAGAAATAATTCCAGATTTGCAAACCCTTTTAACTGCATACTCCAAATGAGAAATCTCTCTGCCTAAAGCTTTGCAATTCTGCCCTTAGACTCTAAGCTCAGAATTTCTAGAGAAGCCATTTCAGAAATGCCACTAGTGCTGATAATCCTAGCATCAATTTACAACAGTATTTCATATGATGCAGAATATCATAATGCCATACAATATTGCTCTTTTGAATAACAATAAAACAATGGTTTCCTCGACTATTTTGTACTTTCCCCATTTGTATCTGTCAGTTTGATCCAACACATATAGCGCAATAGTATGATAAGTGCAAATTCTTTTGTGACATTTTCTGTGCAAATTCTACTTTGGGAATTATTTATTTATGTGGAATTTCCTTAGGAAATTCCTTCTGATTTTCTTTTTGCAAATTATTCCATTTGTATGTGCCTTGTGCTTCAGAGTAAAAGAAAGCTGCATGGCATACAATTGCAAACCAGTACTCAATATGCAACAACTTTCTATTCCATTCCACAAATTTCCAATGTTCAAAAGATGGGATTGCAGATTTTTTGGGGTCAATTGTGCTATTTAAAGATAATATTTTCTTTAAAAAGATTGTAAAACAGTTCCTCAAAATTAGCTGTGTTATAGAAATGCATGAATAGAAACAGGGCTTCCAGGGCTAACAACAAGCTACTAGGATAGGACAAAAAATTTAAATGTATCTCCATGTGCTGCTCCTGGTTAAATGTTTGCCCTTGCTACCTGTCTGCTTGACATCTCAATATTGTTATGAAGATCCAAAGCCAGGGAGTACTATGCTGAATAAAGTATGCTATTATGAAGAGAATTTAACTGTGCCTCTTCTCAAATACTGTATGTATTTGTTTTTATTTGGTTATTACAATTATTTTGAAAGAAAAATATAAAAATGTTATTTGGTCAAATTAAAGCTCTTATTAATTTTATTAGGCACAGTTTCTACTTTAATTGTATAGTATAAACAGAATAAACGGAGGTAACTGTAAGAGGAGACAATTTGTATATGTAGCAGGTACTCCATTATATACCTACCCTTTCAGCAATACAGAATCCTAGTATTCATGTTTGTAGATCCTATGGATTCCTAAAACATTGGCTTTAAAGAACGGGGTTGTATTATTGCAGCAAAAATGTTCATAAGCTAGATAAATTCCTCATCTTATTTTATGCAAAAATACATGTGGCTTGTTAGCCATGAGTCTAATTTTGGTAAGGAAACTGATTGAGACATGATGACAATAACTGATGGCTTGTCTGGGGGTTGCTGATAAGAGTATATTTTCACTACTTTCCTTCTATCTTGCTTCTAGACTTCATAATGTCTCAAATATATGGATGAAAGAGACTATCAATGTAGTACATTTTGAAGTACTGTAGAATAGGAATAATTAACCAATTATCTCAATGGAGAAAATAAGATTAAATTAAATTAAATAGAGGTGGAAATTAGTGTTTTTAAAACTTAAAATATTCACTTAAAAGTGAGCAATGAGATAACCAAGCGTGATTACTGTGATCAAATCAAAAGAGGATTGTGAAGATTGTGAAGAGCTCCAGAAAGATATCTATAAAACTGGTGTCAAGCAAAGGACAAATGTGACTTAAGTAGGTATGAAGTGATGCAGATTGGGGAAGGGAGGGGAAATCCTAATTTCAATCAGGTTTGAACAATCTCTAACTAACCAGGAAACAGGACGATCTACTAAAAATGTCAACTCAGTCTGTGGTAGCTGAGAAAAAGCTAAAGATTACTGAGAAGGGGAATAATGGAAAAACATTTATAAAATAAAATACTTCTTTATATATTATATAAATAAAAAGTTAATGTTATCTCTGAATGGGAGATAGCATGTTACACATAAAATCGGTTTTGAAGGACCTATGTCTCCATTTCTTGCTTGTGAACAAAAAAAGACATCTGGAGGCCACATGACAAATAAAATGGTGGATCAGATGGGTCATGGCCTGATCTACCAGTTATTCTAACACTGATGCAACCACCAATAATTTTGGTCTCTTCTCTATGTCACGATATACTATTTAAGTCCTTGCTGTTGGAAAAAATAGTGCCTGCCTTTTCTTCAACAAATTTCAGACAGATCAGTGTGCTCCGATTACTGTTATCACTGATCCCTATTTTCATAGTTTAACAGGACAAGCCCATATCCAACCCCTATGCACAAGTGCAGCTGATTCTAGGCTGATCTTCATAATAAGGAAGATGGTGCCCAGAGATTTGGCAGTTTCTTCTTATCCATGAACCTAGTAATGCATAACTGAAAATACATAATGCTACTATGCCTGTTATACTGGCAGTAGAAATTGTTTTTGCCACAGTACTTATTTCCACCCTGACTGTGTTAGTCAGAAAAAAAGCAAAGAAACAAGTAAGAGTATTGTGCAAAAAATAAAATAAAAAATCATTTATGTAATATTGTAGACAACGAAAAAGCATTGTGAATGGCATACACAGAGACAGAATGTCATGGGAAAGAGCAAAAAATAGCATACCATCATCACTGGTGTGTATTTCTGCTCCAGCATCCAGATCCACTTCTTCTAAGGTACCATGTTCACTATAAGGGCTGTCACTGAAAAGAAGGAGCATATGAATTTATTTGATGGTAGAATTGATCTACCATTTAAAATTCCAATAAACTGGTCATATTAATGTATTATTTTTCAAATATAACAAGGTTTTAGCAACACTTGGTTAAGTAGTTTTCCAGATTTCTACACACAAAGACACACACACATACACACATCATGCTAGGTACAGAATACACATCCTTAATTCAAACAGAATCTCTTTTTATATGGGAAAGAAATGCACTCTGTAATGTACACATAAAGAGGTAATCCCAGCAACTCCCTCTGAAGGAAGGGAAGGGAAATTTTGAAGCTTTTTAAAGTAAGGCAGAGTTGCATAAGGTGATTCAAGACAGAAAAGGAATCTAAATGGCTTCACGCAGACATCTGACAAAATATGAATACATTTTGCTATTTGAGAAAGTGTGTGTTTCAAGGGAATTCTAGTTCTTAACTAATGAGTATAAAGTTAGCCAGGAATCTAGGCTAAAATTAATCTACTATGGTATGTATGTCTCCATATAAATTATAAAATTGAATCAGTCACCAAACTGTCAAGTTGGTCATGATGATTATATTAGTGTTCTGGATGGAGTATTTCCAAATATCTGTATGTAACATCTAGTTTGGTCTAAATAATCGTAGCCTGCATCTTGATTTCAAACTCACACTGATGGGAAGCCACCATACAAAAGAATCAATGTGACATCAAGATATCAAAGAAGAAAGGGACTGACTGCATCTTAAATTTAGTTATGCCAAGCCTGTTAAGCGAGTCCCATCTAAAATTTCCTCCGGATCCACAACAGAGTCCTGAGCCAATGTGATTTAAAATCTACTTTTTCTCTTCTTGGCTATTATTTGATCCTGAAAAAATTACCACCATTTTATGGATGATATTCAACTAAATGTAGATCTCTAGTCTAAGAAAGGATAATGTTCTAGACTAATCTCATGTGCCTTTTATCCAATATAAAAGAGGCCATGTGGTAAGATTTTATACCAGATTGGATGATTAAACTTTCTCTCCCATGCCGACAAAAAAAGGTTAGAAAAACAGATTTACTGCAGAGAGTCAGGAAATCATACATAAGTTGTCTTATACCAGTCCAGAATTCTGCTGTTTATATATGTTAGTTCCAGAATTTAAATCCTAGGCCCAGGGGTAGAATTCAAATTTTGTAACACCTGGTTCTGTGGGCGTAGTTAGGTGGGTGTGGCCACGTGACTGGGTGGGCATGCCTTTTTTTGCAACCCCCCCCCCTGTTTTTTGGGCCTACCGGGCCTCAGGGGAGCCTCCTGGGGGGCATATTTTTTGCTCCCAGAAGGGCCCAGGAAGGGGAAAAATGGAGCATGGGGGGCGGCACACAGCATCCCCCTGATCTCCATTTTGGGAACTCCTGGGCCTCAGGGGAGCCTCCTGGGGGGGCGTTTTTGCTCCCCTGGGGCCCAGAAAGGAAAAAAAGGAGGGGGGCAGGGGAGGGGAGCTGCCCCCCTCCATTTTTTGCCTTCCTGGGCCTCAGGGAAGCCTCCTGGGCAAAGCAGTAAGTAAGCAAGGGGAATCCCGGCACAGCTGATCACAGGAATAGCTGTTCATAGGGAGGGGGGGGGAAGAAATACCTTAAGAAGTGGCCCAGAAGAATGCAGTCAGCAATGTTGGGCATGCACGCGATGTTGCACATAAGTGATAAGGACTGACTGGGTGGGGAGGGTTGGGCGGAGAGGGGGGAGGCCAGCCAGGGGCACGATTTGCCGATTCTCCGAACTGCGCAGAATCATAACAACCAGTTCTATAGAATCAGTCCAAACTGGTAGAATCTCACCCCTGCCTAGGCCTCTTAGTGCTACTGCATTTTTGATGCAGTAGCACTGAGACCACTGGCTGCGTAGCTGCTATATGTTTTCCAGCCTTGAATATTTCTGCCATCTGTCCTTGTTTACAAAATGCTTTTTTCTCTGGCATGAGTGATTCCTGCTCTACCAGCTTAAAGCCTTATATTATATGAAAAAGAACTGGTTGCACTATTGACAAATTCTTACATATAATTTACCTAGACTGGCAGGCAAAATAGTTTTTTTGTGGTAGATGAGAGCAAGATTCTTCAAAGCTGTTCACAGAATAAGACTGAAGGACTTACCAGTAGTCATCACCTGCCATACATTTTTCATATACTGGACCATCTAATTCCTTGCCATCTGGGAAAATGATCTCCTGGTGAATGATAATGGTTTTGATGATTTCATTAACATGAGCCTGGCATGACACTTGTTCTTGTATATCTGGAATGGGCATCAATGTTGGGCCAAAACAAATGGCCAAGTTATAAGGATCCATCATATTTTCATCACTGTACTGAGAAAGGCTGTTTAAAAAAAAAGAAAATAAGTATTTTTCAAGCATGCTATTGGATGGTTTTATAGTTATTTTTTCTCTAAAAAATTCCAGTTTGATTTCAGTTGAATTGTACAGCTTATATATTATATTAAAGTGTTTTATTTTGGTCTGTTTTTTTACATCTCAAAAATCTGGCATATTCAGAATTTTGGTGAATGAGGGGATAACAAACAAATTTCAAATCCAAAAAGGAACTAGGCAGGGATGCCCGCTATTGCCACTTTTGTTTATTTTGACGTTAGCAAGAATAATTAGAAAAGAAACAGAAATTAAAGGTTTAAAAATAAAAAAAGAAGAGTTCAAATTATAAGCCTTTGCTGACGATTTACTTTTTATTTTAGAAGAACCACAAAATTCGGACCAAAACTGATAAATAATTTAGAAGAATTTGGAGAAGTCGCAGGGCTAAAAATTAATAGGGAGAAAACAAAAATAATTACTAAAAATATGACAGATAAACAAAAGGAAACTTTAGCAGCGACAACGGGCATCCCAATTGTAGAGAAAGTTAAATACTTTGGGATTATAATTTCGGCAAGATATATAACACTAAAAAAGATAATTATGACCCATTAATAAAACAAATATCTGAAGATTGGAAAAATGGGAAAAATTAAGACTATCCTTCATAGGAAGGATAGAGGCAATAAAGATGAATGTGCTACCTAAATTATTATTTCTTTTTCAAAATGCCCCCATAAAATTGGGAAATGTTTTTTTTGATAATTTGAGTAAAATAACGGCAAATTTTATATGGCAAAAGAAAAAACCAAGAGTCAAATTGAAGTTGCTGCAAGATGCTACAGAAAGAGGAGGATTTGGCCTACCCGACTGGGAATTATATTACAGAGCTGCAATTCTAACCTGGGTGAAAGATTGGATAAACCATAGAAATAAAAGAATATTAACATTAGAAGGTTACAGTTTGCAGTTGGGATGGCATGCCTTCCTCTGGCAGGATAATCAAAAGGGCTATAATTATGTTCAAAGACATAAAGTTAGACAGACTCTCTTAAGTACATGGAATAAAATAAAAAGGCAAATGTATGTAGAAACACCTATTTGGCGATCAACTTTGGAAGCATTGATGCATCCACATCTACTGAGACAAGGAAAAATCATCACCTATGAAGATATATTAAAATGATAAAGGGAAATTACAATCTAGACAGGATCTGAAAAATCAAGGAATTGATGTGGAATGGTGGGCCTATTTGCAAGTCCAATCGAAATATTTAAGAGATAAGAAAGAGTGGGGAATTAGTAGAACTAAGATAAAACTAGATGAAATACTATTAGGAACCAATGAGAAGATGTTAAAAAGTCAAGTCGTATTGGAATTTAAATTGGAAGAAGAAAAGATAAAGGAAACGATGGTGGTATGGATGAAAAATTTTGGTTATAGCATCAAATTAGATGATTGGCAAATATTATGGAAAAAAAACAAAAAGATGACTTTGGCCATACCGTTTAAGGAAAATTTGTATAAATTATTTTATAGATAGCACATACTTCCATCAAGATTGGCAACAATGTATTCAAAACTTTCCCCCACATGCTGGAAATGTAATAAAGAAAAGGGAACTTATTACCATTTGTGGTGAAGTTGCAAAGAGGCCCAAAAATATTGGCAAAAAATACAGAAATGGCTAGAAGAAATATGTGGGATGAAAATAGAATATAGACCGGAGTTCTTTCTGTTAGGGATTAATACGAGGAAATAAATGAATTTGAAATAATTAGGAAAATTATGATGTGCGCAGAAATGGATAAATTAACAAAGGAATTAAAAAATAAGGATTTGGACTATTATAAAATATGAGATACATTTTATGGTTGACTAGAGAAGAAGATTCAAGAGAATAATGAATGATATATGTATATACAATATATATGGAATGAAAATATGTATTATTATTATTGGACTTAGCAAAGTAATGACAAAGATGGATGTTAGAAAGACTGTACCATGTTCAATATTTTTAATGTATTTTTGTTCATGTTTGTTTGTTTGTTTAATAAAGAAAAACCTTTTAAAAAATCTGGCATATTAACAGGGATGTGCAGACTTTCTATATCCACTGCACATAATGATGAATATAATAAGTATAATAACATTATACTTAGACAATATATCTACAGCAGATCAATAATTTTCAGGTAATTCAAACAACCCCATGCCCCCCAAAACAACTTGAACTGTAATCTCAACAATATTTCTATATAAGAAAGATATGGAAAAGAAGGAGCTGTTCTCTAACCTGAAGGAAAGATAATTGGTTCTTTATCTTAATGGACAATGCTTTCAATTAAAAAAAACAACAGTTCAGTCTTGTGGACCTCTTACATTTTTCCTTAACCAAAATGACTCACTTCATTACATATGCTATTTTTTAAAAAAGCATTACCATTTTCACCCAGTCTATGTAAGGTACTTTAATTTGTCTGCATTCAGAGAATTTCCTTTTGCCTTTGAACTATTCTCATTTTTTTCTGAATTCTTTGTCCCAACATCTTTCATAGCTGCAATGTGGTGTTTCTTTCTTACCACATTAAAAGCCAAATAGAATCTTATTTTTACACTATGTAAAAAAAAAAACCCCATCTACCTGTCTGGTAAATCATTTCCTTTGCTTTCCTTCTGGCTACCTCCCCTTTTGCCTAAGTATCTAAAGTGCACTCCATTTGTTGCACAGAAAGATTTCTCTACATCTCAGTTCTTTTGTTTTGTCTCACATGTTTATCTTGTTGATTTATTTATTAATCATATTTATATGGCTGCCTTTTTCATCAAAAGTGATTCTACAGTTTCAATTAAATATATAATTCAGAACCACTGAACTATATCTTTAAAAAATCCTGGAGCACCAGGGAACTCCCAGAGGACTGGAGAAGAGCTGATGTAGTTCCCATTTTCAAAAAAGGAAAAATGTGGATCCAAGAAACTATAGATCTATCAGCCTTGCATCAATTTATGGGAAGATTCTGTAAAAGATAATCAAGCAACAAATCTGTGAACACTTAGAGGCAAACAAAATCATAACCAAAAACCAACCTGGGTTTGTCAAAAACAGATCATGCCAGACAAATTTTATTGCATTCTTTGACATATGACAAAATTAGTGGGCAAGAGGAATGCTGTGGGTATAATTTACTTGGACTTTAGTAAGGCATTTGATAAAATAGACTACAACCTACTATTTGGTAAGATAGAAAAATGTTGAGTTAGATAGCATCACCACCAAATGGATTCGTAACTGGTTGACCAATCACACTCAATGTGTAGTCCTCAATGGAACTGCATCTACATGGAGGAAAGTATGCAATGGGGTACCCCAAGGCTCTTTTAGATCCAGTACTCTTCAATGATTTAGATGAGGGGATAGATGGGGAACAAATTTGCAGATGACACTAAGCTGGTATGAATAGCCCACACTCCAGAAGATAAGCTTAAGATACAAAAGGAACTTGACAGATTTGAACATTGGGCACTATCTAACAAAATGAAATTAAATGGTAAAAAAGTAAGTTTCTACATTTAGGCAAGAAAAACCAAATGCACAGATACAGTGTATGTGGTACCTGGCTCAACAATAGTAATTGTGAGAGGGATCTTGGAGTCCTAGTGCTGGCTCATATTTAAGTGGACAATCACTTAAATATGAGCCAGCAGTGTGCTGCAGCTGTTAAAAAAGTCAACACAGTTCTAGGCTGCATTAACAGAGAGATAGAATAAAGTTCACATGAAGTGTTAATACCACTTTATAATGCCTTGGTAAGACCACACTTGGAATACTGCATCCAGTTTTGGTTGCCACAATGTAAAAAATATGTTGAGACTCCAGAAAGAGTGCAGAGAAGAGCAACGAAGATGATTAGGAGACTGGAGGCTAAAACGTATGAAGAATGGTTGCTGGAATTGTGTATATCTAGTTTAATGAAAAGAAGGACTCGAGGTGACATGATAGCAGTATTCCAATATCTCATGGGTTGACACAAAGAAGAGGGAGTCAAGCTATTCTCCAAAGCACCTGAAGGCAAGACAAGAAGCAATGGATGGAAACTAATCAAGAAGAGAAACAATCTAGAACTAAGGAGAAATTTCCTGAGAGTTAGAACAAATAATCAGGGGAACAAATTGCTTCCAGAAGTTGTGAACGCTCCCAACACTGGAAGTTTTTAAGAAGAGATTGGACAACCATTTGTCTGAAATAGTATAGGATTTCCTGCCTAAGCAAGGGGTTGGACTAAAAGACCACCAAAGCCTCTTCTAACTCATATTATTCTACTCTATTTATCAGCTATTTCCCATTTTTATTTTAGTTCACTTGGAATTCAACTCTTTCTAAAAACAATATTCATTTAGCAACACTTTTTCTAATACTGCTTTTCTAATAGGATCTCTATGGTTCTGATGATCAATTCCTTCTTTTTTTCTTTTCTCTGTTCACTCTTTCCTTAAATCGCCTGAAAAAAGATGTGGCTGCTTTAATGAACAACAGGGATATGACTTTTTCATGTAAGATTTGAAGCATTTTTCCAAAATAATTTTCAAAATATCATAATCCTCCTACATACTGTATGCTCATACAGGAAAATTAAAATGAAGCCTTAAAATGAATCTCTCTACATACTCAAATATGTTGATTGATGTCTATACCAGACAGAATTCCAATGTGCTCTATAATTAGACTTAAATTGACACATATAAGCTGCTGAAGGCAATAGCTGAAATGTACATTTGTGATCTCATTCTGTATTAGCATTGTGGGCACATACCTTTTGCTAAACTGCTATTTTGAAACTTGGATCTGTGATGTTTACAAAGACTGTTATTGGTAATCCAAGCATAGGAATACTGCATAGGCCTTCTGTGTTAAAAAGTCTTTGTCTTAAAACGTTCACACTTATTTCCCAGATCTAAATATTCACCATCTTAAGGGACTGAGATTGTTACCTTATATATTGTTTAAAGCCTAGATTTTCCCAAAAAGTCCTTAGGTGTAACAATAAGCCTACAATTTGTTCCTTGGTGCCTGACAAATTTCTTGCCTAATACAATCTTATTTTAACAATATTTTAATTAAAAGATGACTAGAATTAACCAAGAAGAATCCTATGCTCAAATATAATCTGCTGTACTAACAATGCCTCTGGCATTGTAAAGATATGCGTATGTATGTACATAGTCCAATGCTTATTTTGAAACCAGCCACCTGCCAAATTAAAAAGAAAACTAGAATGAAAGAGAGCTTCCTCATATTCTAGAGCAGCACTTCTCAACTTTGCCAACTTTTAATATGTGTGGATCAATTCCCACAGAATTCAAAATGTTGCTGAGGTTCAGAAATGCTGAGCTAGACAGAATGATGGAAACAATGGATACATTCTGATTCATCACATCCTTATGGTAAGTTCCTGTAACATCCACATCCAAAATTCCAAATGTTCCCACTGACCAAGAATCTTGTTTATATTATACACTGATTGAATCTGCATTTATAAATAAGATAAGGGGGGGAAAGTTCTCCTTAAATTTCTATATATTTCACATGAATACAACTTTGTATTTTCAAGAGCAATATTTACATTCAGTGTCCAATATATTCTGGGATGATGGAAATTAGAACTTCAAACATTGATATCCCCCATTAAGATACATTTAAAGAAATTGGTGAAGCTTTCTTTGAAAAAAAAATCAACAAATGTACAATGTTCCAATGTACAAGTATTTTCATAACTTCTATTTTCAAGCTTTCCATACTATTTCTATGGTGTTGTCATTTAAAGAGCTAATTCCATTTTGCATGAAAATAATTCCTCTTCTGCCAATTAAAATAGCACACAGTCTTTATTAAAATTAAATTCTTTCTCTCCCTCCCACCCTCTCTCCGGTCTCAGCACCACCACCACATTCTTTCTCTCTCACACACACAGCTTCCTTAAAATATCTGAAGTATTTTTATAGAAAGTTAAAGCTACTTACTGATTGAGGAAGGCAAAAAGATATCTTAATAAGATAAGGACTGATCTTGGCAATGTCAGCAAAAGTTTACGTATGTGAAGAGCTCTCTCATAGAGATTTTCTGTTCCTGTAACATCAAGTAGAAAAATTAGTTATGGTTGGCTACTGAAAATATAGAAGAATTTTCCACTGCTGATATGTTGGGCCAACTCAAGATGTGTTGGGTTATATGACATTGGGCAACTATGGGAATTGTACTGCAACACATTTGGAGAATACCAGTTTGGAAAAAAGACTGTATATATAGACTATAGAAGAGTGCAAAATGGACACATTAATATGTTCTAAGATTTCCTGTTGATATTAATTATATGAACAAGTTCCAAAGGCTCGTGGATGGTTAATTTATCCAAATAGGATCTTTGTCTATATCTGGAAGGAGAAAAATATGCTTCCTTACTTAAGCTCTGTCCTTAACAAAATGCAGTACATTAACCAAAAATGGTATTTGGGAGGGGTGTGTGTCATCTAATAGGGTAGCTTAAATATCTATATAAGGGAGAGTGTCTGAATGCTATGTATATAAAACAATATATTTTGTTCTTATTGAGAATGTAAATTCAAAAATATGCTTGTTAAAATGGATGCACATAAATAACTATGATAGCAGTAAGCTGTCCTATAATTTAAAACACATGAAAGAAACATATTTAACTTACTGACACAAGAAATAAGATCATTAAATCTTTCCTTAGGAAATATAGGATTCTCCAGCCCACGGAAATAGAGTTTCAGTACTCCAGCAACTGAGTTAATATCATGGTTACTTTGGTCGTCTGCCAAAGGATTTTCACCTACAAAAATAAATCAGATTAAGTGCTTACAGGCCTTAGATCTTGACAGCTTTTTTCTATAGAAAATTCTGAGCTGTACTATATTGGTCATCCTGAAATTAGAATGAATGTAGCAAGAACTAAAATATTGCTCAAATATATATCTTCCCCATTGGGATACGTACTTTGATTTCATTCTTTCTAATTATAATACAATATAGAGTATATTTTGCCTTGATTATTTTATTAACCTATTTTAACCTCAGATACCTGGAGTTGCAACTGGAAAGTTGGGTAGTGATATTAATTGATTGATTAAATAAATAAATAGCAGAATGATAGAGCGGGTAAAAATGCTAGATTGTCCATGCAAGGCTAAATTCATCTGATTCAGTCATCCTTAACCTGAGCATGATCCAGATATGTAGATATCAGAATTCACAATTTTTTCCTCAAATGCTAAAATAACTCTAGGAGGTAAAGTCTTTATATCTGGAAGGCATTAAAGATAGGAAAGTCTGATTTGGGTAAATGAATTTAATTAGGCTGAAAGGAATTCCAGTATTCCTGAGAAGCTGAGGACTGCATTGATGAAATATATTGGTTTTCACAATTATTTTCATTCAAATTACATACCATACAAATACTGACATATTCAAGCTCACATTTTCTTTGAGGTGAAAAAAGTAATTAAAAAGATTTTAAAACTATGTTCTGCATTCCATTGTGATGACAAAGAATAGATTCTAAAGCCAAACTTTCATAGAAAAGATGATGTTATTAAGGACTGTGTGGAATGTGTTTTAAAAGAGTATTCTTACAAGATTGAAATATGCAGTAGTTTTAACAATGTCCATTTAGTAAATTCATTTATTAAATGACTAATTTAAACAAAACTTTAAAACTTGGTTAGTATAATAAGTAATTAGCAATAACTAATATGCAAAATAACCTAGAAAAATAATAAGATTAAATAATTAAATAAATTCATTAAATAACCTAGAAAAATAATATATTCTTTGGGAAGGGGGTTCTACTCACCAAAATAATATCACATAAAATTTAAGCATATAGAAAATTTTTGCAGGAGTAGATTAGTCTAGTCTAGCAATTTATTATTTCCCCCCACAATGATCAATAATGCAGTGTTTGAAAAAACCCAATAGGAAGACATGACAAAGACAGCAACCTATTGTATATTCAGAAGACCCTTTTAAAATGATGAAGATGCAGATTATTATTTCATTCTCCATTAATTGGTATATTTACCCCCCAAAAAGGTAGCTCTGAATTTAGGACAATTTCACAATAAATAGTGATAAACACAGAAAAAAAATCCTGTATAATGCCCAGTTTCCCAGTCTTCTCCATCTAAGATTTCCCATTACAGCTGAAACCTGTCATGAGATTTTAGTCTTTTTAAAAATTGTGTGTATAATTTTTAATGTATAATCCAGTGGTGGGATTCAAATTTTTTTACTACTGGTTCTGTGGGCGTGGCTTGGTGGGCATGGCAGGGGAAGGACACTGTAAAATCTCAATTCCATCCCCACCCTACTAACCTGCTTTCCAGCTCCGTTCTCATGTGCAGGGCAACAAAAGAAGATCCAGCCAATCAGCTGGGACTTGGGAGGTAGAATGGGGACGGGGCCAGTCAGAGGTGGTATTTGCCAGTTCTCCGAACTACTCAAAATTTCCGCTACTGGTTCTCGAGAACTGGTCAGAACCTGCTGAAAACCACCTCTGGTATAATCCATACATATATCTGAAATAATTTTCTAAACTTTATTCCACCTCCCCCAACCCGCCCACCCCAAAAAATAAGAAGAAGAAAGAGGAGGAGGAGAAAGTAAACAGAAAAGCAGAGTACAACTGGATGACACTGAGACAGATGGGGAAGAAGTAACTGTGCAGAGAAGGAAGATCCTGCCTATTTAAAAATTACAAAAAGAGTTAAATTCAGGAGTTAGCCACCTCTGGACTGCAATAATGTGGATAGTCACAAGATGACAGCAGAGCTGTCATTGAACTCTTTTTGCTGACATTTAGAGCCTATGAAGTGGGGTCTTGTCTCTACCCTTTGGGATGACTGTGGTGCTCATCGACGGAATTTCTTTTTTTCTTATTCGTATCCATTTCAATCGACAAAATTTCTTTCTTTCTTATTCGTATCCATTTCATGTATTTATAACCATGTTTATACTTATACCTGTTATCTAATAATTGTTTGACAAAATAAATAAATAAACAAACAAACAAACAAATACTGTATATACTCGAGTATAAGCCTAGTTTTTCAGCCCATTTTTTGTGCTGAAAAAATCCCCCTCGGCTTATACTCGAGTCAGATTCCCCTCTGAAAAAAAAATGGTGTGGAGTCGCGGCCTCCGGCGGCAGCGACTCCCAACAGCCCCAGCCGGGAAGGGAAAGGCAAAAAGCGCTTTGCCTTTCCCTTCCCGAGGCGGCGGGACTGGGGCCGCGCCGGCGGTAGTGACTCCTGACTCAGGGGGCCTCCGAGGGAGGGGAAGAGAGTGACTCTTGCCTCCCACTGTCATCATCATCTTCTTCTTTTGGGTTAGTGAATCAATTAAACCTTTCATGATAGTGAGATCGTTTCCCAAATTAATTATTTTTATTTTTGAAATTTACCAGTAGCTGCTGCATTTCCCACCCTCGGCTTATACTCGAGTCAATAAGTTTTCCCAGTTTTTTTGTGTAAAATTAGGTGCCTCGGCTTATATTCGGGTCGACTTATACTCGAGTATATACGGTAAATAAAATATCTATCACATTGTGTCTGAATGCCCATCAAGAGTTTACACCAGCCCAATGTCTGATTTTTTTCAACATAGACCACCCTGTCCTTGAATGGCTGGGTGGACTGGACATTAACATTTAAACCACTGTAAGTCCACGTATTTGCCATATGATTGATAAATAAATAAATAAAGCATATGAAGTTCAAAAATAGTAGCCTTATCTCCAAAATCAATATCCAAAGCTATCTAAGTTTTTAAAGATCAATTGTGCTAATTTCTTTGTTTTTCTATTCTTCTCAATGAATAAAAGTTCTCTCCCTTTCATAATAATAATTTAGGGAAAAAAATTTATGGTATGATGGTACATATGAACAGAAAAATGATAAATCACCTCTTTCAAATGAATTTTTAATATCATTAACCTCCACCTGAGAGCCCGACACCCTGAAAATGCCTTGGTGTTGAAGACCTGAAAAATAACGAGAGAAATATATAAAATTCAACATTCAAATGAGGGAAAATATTAGCATCTTAGTCTTTTATTATCACATTTATATATAACTTTCCACCAAGACTCAACAAAGTAGCTTACTGAATTTTGAAATGCAATGCTAACTGCTTCCAAAGAGCAAGAATTCCTTTTCTTGCTTGATTTCAGCCCTCTTCCTTCCTTTGCTCCATGACTTCATATCTTCCAATTAATCCCTTCTTATTGCTGTCTGAATTAATATTCTGCCCTGTTTCTTTTGTTTTATTCCCCACCAAGCCCTTCCCTTTTTAAGTTTTCAACAAGGGAAGTTCTTTCATTCAAGACTAAAGTTTCATTATACTTCCTAACTGTAACTGGAAAAGGATTAGGACATGCCGGAAAAAGTATCATGATTATTAAGCACAATAGTCTTCAATATTAAAAAAGTATTTTAGAACTCACCATATAAATTGATAAATTGGATACAGCTTTCTACAATGAGGGGGATTACTTGTCCTGAGTCCTGGTGAGGGGAAAAAATAATCCAAACAGTTTGCAAAGTTTATGAGATAAATAGCACTTATCATTAGGATACAGTGGCATCCTTATAACATCAGACATATAATACTTTATACATCTAAATCTCACTAGAATGATATCAATTGTGTCTCTTGATTATTTAGCTTTTTCATAAAACAAGCTCTTGAGCTAATTGTGTTTTTCAGTGTGGTCAGGAAGCAAATAATGCCCAGTGTCCGTAACCAGTGCTGTATATTTCTACTGATGGTAGCTAGCAAGTCCCATTTAAGAAGACCGGTAGATGCAATAATGGAAGGCACATTGAAAGTAATAAATCTTGCTTGCTAGAGTGCTGCTGTTATTGACTTTAATAAATCTTAGCTTATTTATTTAAAAGCTAGGCAATTTTTCATTCTTCTCCTGTTCCTCTTTTATTTAAGGCATTTTATTATTTGAGGGGTTCCTCAAACACAATTTCCTGTTACAGCATAACTGATAAAATGTTATTTAATGTCTGATTATTAAAAAAGATACGACATCAAGATCATATTTTGAACAAAGAACTAATGAATTATAATATACAAGGAAAAAAATGATACAAACTTAAAGGCACAGTGCACAGAAGTTTATTAAACTGATGCCCTTACATCTGAACTGCTTCTATATATTGTATCTGGCTATTTTTATTTGTATATGCTAGCATGCAGAAGAATTCTTTATACATCATGACTGAATCACCAGTAAAACTGACAAGTTATAAGTTTCACTTCCAAACAGTAATTTATTGTTCTCACAGGAATGAAAGTGAACTATTCATTTTCTATGGAAAAAAGTATAAAGGAGTGTATTTATTGACATTATTTCACTAAGAAATAAGTAGTTTATATAGGACAAATTCTTTTCCTCTTTAGGAACTTCCAAAGAACTTCCAAAATATTTTCACCATGTCAATTGTCCCACCAGAGGCAAGATTGTTGTCATGGGAATTAAACAAAGGAGATCTCCATGTAACCTGCTGTAACCTCTTTGAGGAAAAGTGCAATGAAAATCTTTTAAACAAATAAATAAGTAATATGAAACTGAAAAAATGCATCAAGTGGTTTCAACTTGGGAAGCTTCCTTGGTCAGCAGAGTTTTCTGTTAATGAAATGGGAAGTTGAGCAATTTTGGATTTCTTTAACTTTTTTATTCTACTTGTAGGAAAGAATGGGAAAGTACTGAAAAATCACCTCATTATTATGTCAGAGAAAGAAGATTGCTGGATTAAAGAGCTCTCATCAATGGATAGAAATTGACTAGAAATAAGCCAAGCCCTGCTACTTTTTTGGACCAGATACAGAAATTAAGGAAGAATTGTCTACCACAAGGGCATCAAACTCGATTTCATTTGAGGGGTGCATCAAGGTTGTGTTTGACCTTGGGGGCACTGGCCATGGCGTGGTCAGGGGGCATGGCCAGCTCAATGTAACGCATGTTGGGGGTGCCTGTGGTGGCCCGAATGCTCTGCCAATGAAAATGGCTCCTGAGCTCTGTTTTCGGCTGTGACAGCCTCCTGAAACCCTCTGTCAGCAAAAATGGAGCTCGGGAGAGCCGCCTGTAGCTCTCCCGAGCTCCATTCTTTCTGGCAGAGGCACTGCAGGCCGATTCTTTGCTGTTTCCAGGGTGGCCCTGCGGGCCAGATCTAAGCACCCTATAGGCCAGATCCAGCCCCCAGGCCTTGAGTTTGACACCCCTGGTCTACCGGCTTGAATGTGTTCTGAAAATCAGTTTTATGTCAAAGTACGTTGTTCTAAAAGTTTTTGTTTTCAACAGCTGCTATCTGGAGATGAAATATTTTACTCTATTCTTCCAATACCCACAAGCTACAGGAAAAGATAATGTGAGATATGGGGTTCTGTGGGAATAGAGGGTTTTCAATTCCATTCCTGAACTGAAAAACCAATTGGTACTCCTTACGTGACCTGTTTGTGAATTTTATAAAATACCCCATGGTTACATTCCAAAAAGAGTTTACAATTTCAGGGGAAATTGTATTCTATTCACCTTAAGAGTGTAGCAGGTACTCTTGATAAGTTATCAAATTCTACAGGATTAAATTTAAGGAACATTTTATACAAAATGTTATACTTGTCACTAAGTTTACTGACAAATTTGTGGAAAGTATATTCATCCTTGAAAATATCTTGGCACTGGTAATGAATGATGCTAAACATATAGTTTATGAATGTCTTTAATTTTTAAAAAGTCACAGAAGATTTAAATGCAAAGTAAGACTTTAGTTTATTCTTTTGATACAAAAAACACTTTATGTGATGTTGTAAACTGCTTTCATAGGTTAAAAAATCCTGATCATAGGATTTTTACAGGTGAATATAGGTAGGATTGTTACACAAAAACCCATAACAAGTATGTCATTGCATGGGTTCATTTCTTGTAGTGTTGTCTCTTGTGTTTATTCTTGTTGAATAAAGTGGATGTTATAAATATACTAGATGAAGAATATTCGAGGCATTAAAAAGTTAAAATATACTTGCATACTTTTCTCATTGCTAAATTCAAACAGTTCCCAATAATTGGTAATAAAAAAAACCAAAATAACGTTAATCAGTTCATTAGCACTATACCTGATATCTGGTGTGTGAGTTCCTTCGTCCTCTGCTGTAAAATTCAATTAGAAATAAAGTACATAACAACAGGATGAAGAATGTAAATACAAAAGTCACAAAATATAGCTATTCATAAAGCTTAAAGGGTCCTCAGAAAATAAAAACAAATATTAGGTTCTAAGAACCAGAGTAGCATAATAATGATTGGATGTAATCTTCCCTGTGAATTTTATAATGTGAACATTATAAGAATATACCTATATAGCATATGTACATATTGGCTTCCCTCATTTTATTCTAGGGTTATGCTCTCTGAAAACTTGATATAAAACGATCTGCATAAAGTAAGACACTTAACCAATAGAAAAAAGGAAATGATAGAGAGTGGGATCAAATTCTGTAGTCCAAATGTACTTACAAATATGTACAATAAAATTGTAGACCTTTATTCTAAAGCACTATTTTGCTCAAAGATGTTTTCTTCCTTGTCTCATGTTCTACGTATATCCAAAATATTTTCTTAATCTTTTCTACAACTAGTTTCTAATGTGGATAATTATCATAGCAAAGAGAATCACAACATTATAAATTTTATTAATATTCTTTGTTGTGTTGTATACAGTGATTTGCCCATATTAAAAACTCAATCCAAGGCTGAGAATTCTTCACCAGCTTTGGTGTGATACATCCAAGTTTGTTTCTAACATTAGGGAAGATCTTTTTATTTTAGATAAATGGGTTGAATAAGATACTGATGGCCATGTTCAGACCAGTAGTAGCAATTGCAGATATGGAAGTAATAGGAGGTAGGATTTATAAATGAAATAATCACACAATATGATGGTAAATCCATGAATGAAAGATAGGTTTTGGATAGGAAAATGCTCAAGGGAACATTTGATAAGAAGAACTCTTTGGTGTAGATCAATTATTCTAGCATAAATCTCACAATAGCATTTTAAAAACACACGCACAATCATCAATTGCTTTAAAAAACTTGCATAAATGACAAAAGCTAGCATTAAAATGATAGCCTTTCAATGGATTGATCATGGTACTCTAGCTCATAATTCAATTATTATTTTTATTATTTCTCATGTTCTATGCATGCATGTGTGCGTCCAGAATATTCTGTATTGGTTAATTAAGACTATTTTTGAGAAGTACTGACAGAGCCAATAAAGTGAGTTAGCAGTTACTGAAAACTTAGTTCATTTCTTGTTGTATCCATCCAGAAATTTAGCAGAGAGGACTGAAGTTATGTAGAAAAAAGAAAATAAGAATTTCACAAATATTAAAAATGATTTATTTATTTATTAAGAGTTGTGGTGGTGCAGTGATAAGAATGCAGTATTGCAGGCTAATTCTGCCGACTATCAGCAGTTCGATCCTGACTGGCTCAAGAATTCAGCCTTCCATCCTTCCAAGGTCAGTAAAATGAGGACCCAGATTGGAGGCAATATGCTGACATGTAAACCGCTTAGAGAGGGCTGTAAAGCACTGTGAAGTGGTATACAAGTCTACATGCTATTGCTATTATTAAGCTGCCTTCTTTTGTAAATTTTGCTATATATTTAAGTCTTTTTTCCAAGCGCAATGCATCTTAAAGATACTGTTGTTTTGTGAATTGATACACCAAAATTACATTTTTATATCACCACGCGTAACTGCAACCCTCACACTTCTTTCCCAAAGATAAAATTAGGAGGCAATGATAAGTTGAGTGTAGTTGCCTAACCAGAAGGCCTTACACTGTTACGTATTGTTTCTGCTCCTGCTATCTCCAAGTCACTACTTGACATATCAATACTTGGGAAGAGCACTGGGCCAGCCAAAAGATGGACACTTCCACCAGATATCCATATGCAATTTATTCACCTAGACCTTCTTTTCTGTAGACCTTCTCTTCAATGAATCCTGAAGTTATACCCTATATGTTCACTACACATAAAACAAACAATGAACTTTTATCGGGAAGCTGATTTTCTTCCTTAGAAAGCCAAAGAAATATGTCACTGATGCACTGGTGTAGCCATAGAAGACAGAAGAAATCAATGTATGTACTAATCACAGACGTTAGAATTCTGATAGCAATAGCAACAGCACTTTTATACCTCTTAATCGTGCTTTATAGCCCTCTCTAAGCAGTTTACACAGTCAGCATATTGCCCCCAACAATCTGGGTCCTCATTTTACCAACCTTGGAAGGATGGAAGGCTGAGTCAATCTTGAACCATTCAGAATCGAACTCCTGGAGTGACAGTGAGTTAGCCTGCAATACTGTATTCTAACCACTATGCCACCACGGCTTTGATACTGTGACAAATATCTACCATCAGTGTGTACATAAGAAGGCCATTAAAAAGGTATTTTGAAAATGAGGACACAATTTTTCTTTCCAGGGGAAGGCACCGAGTCCCATTGGGAAATTATTGGAGATGTGATTATAATCTGGAGGATTTAATGTCCTACTCTTAAAGTTTCTTCCTTTTTAAAAAAAAGGGATATATTAACATAATACTTTCTGAAACATAATTCTCCTATTTTATAAGTTTTCATAAAATAAACTTTATGAAAATATATTTAACAACTTACCTTGTAGTCATATATTCTGCCCTATGACCTAAAGGATAAGAAAAATATAATCTGAAAACCAACGGAACCAGATGTATATTTCTTATATAACACATATGCTAGCCAGATTTTCAATCCTCAATTATTTATAATGTAACTGTTGATATTTATTTCACAAGATTTATGCTTACAAACAAGAAAAATAGTTTCCTACAGAGAGTTAGGAGAGAGTTACTACAGAGAGTTTTAAAAATGTTTTTATGCAAGTAAAGAATATGTTATTAAGTTAAGCAAAACAAAATTTGAACCAGTGGTACCAATCTGTGCATGCATACATAATGAATTATTCACAGAAAGAGAAAAGCTTGCCAGTATGCTTTGGGGAATGAACATATTGCCAACATTCATAAGTTAAAAATAATTTAGGATGTAGCTATACTTAGGAAAGTAAATATTTAATGATTCTACAAAAAGAATTATACACATTAATGTGGTAACTTGATTTAGTTATAGTTAACCTGAAACTTAACTATTCTATTATTCAGCACTACTCATATAAGTTCCTATAGTAGCACTGATTGCTGTTCTTCATAAATGATTACTTAGATTTTGTTTCACAACACAATTTCCATAAAGATAATTCTGGTTGTGAAAAAGGAAAAAAAAGAAATACAATCATATATAGTATGGCCCAATGAGTTGGTCTTAAAAACAGCAATTTATTTTTTAGAAAATTCATATAAGCTGATTTTAACATTGCAAAATAGCAGGTATCCCTGTAAGACATCATGACACATCGGTAGACAATACAGTTAAATATTAAATTCTTTGGGTAATAGAATTTTTCTTTTAAGCTTGATTTTTGCATAGCTGGAACAGCATGATTATAAATCCCATTTAAAATATGAAAGAGATTTTTCTCTGATTCATGACATTGCATGAAATCCCACTGTTAGAAGAATTACTCTGCTGGAGCACATTTGGAATGAAAGACATGCTTTCTCAGTAATATAATGAACAAAGTGGCAGCTCCATGCTTTCCCCCAGAAAGTTTATAATGAATTCTACTCATTATGAGGCACTGTTTGAGCTTTCAGGGATGTACTTAATAAATACTACAGCAGAAGATGCAAAGCAGTGTTGTTAAGAGAGAAATATCTTGACTCTTAGGAATTACACTATAAATCAATTCACACAGTAAATTGGACACTAAATGGCCTTGCACAGTGGGATGGCTAATTCTGCCAAAGTTTCTCCTTTTCCATCTCAACTGCCTATCAGAGGTTTAATACCTTTATTGCAATAATTATTAATTGCTTTATTAAAAGAAAGAAAAGAAAAATGTAAGGATTCAATAAATTAAAAAACCAAGATTATTTTTATTTTGTCTTTGTGGTTTGGGATAATTAATTTGCCATGATATGAGACACCATTTGCAAGCACTATTCAATGATAATATGACTTTTGGTTTACATTCCCTTGGTTTATCAAACAGGAAGCATGGTTTACAACCATGCTAAACCCCCAAACATGCTAAGTATTATCACTTAGCATAACATAAATTGGGCACAACTCAAAATTATTATTTAAATATATTGCAATAGTGAAAAAAAATATGCAGCTGAAAGTTTAATTGTTGGATTATTGGTATTCTCTGAGTTTGCTATTGGTATTTAATAAGAAAGATCTATGCAGCAGAAACCTACATTACCTATAATAACTGACCAAATCCTAAGTTCAATATATGTCTGTAATGTATTTTGAATCATTTACCTTCTCCAAGTGTCCGCTGCAGAGAATCATGTTTTGCCTGAAGCTTTGTGATAAGATTGCTTCCTTCCAGATACTCTCTGAATTTCTGCAGAGACATAGATCTGTGTTTCTTATCTGAATATTTCTAATTGTAAGAAAACAACTACAATTAGATCATATTACACAGTATGTAAAGCATCTAACATACCATGAAATAGAACTGTTCAGTCTCCTGCTGGTTAGCTCTTCTTTTAGCTATGCTAGGCTTGCTCAGGTAGGTCTCAGAAACTGTTGATTTCACAGACTCGGTTGAACGACTGTGCTGGAAGCATTCAGAAACATCATAGTCTTCAATATTGACCATGTCATGTATTGTCTGTGAAGTAGCTTCTGTTGTTTTCTTAACCTGGGGTTAACAAGTCCATTTCAGCAAACAGAAAAGCACATCAAAATTTATTTCAGAATGAGAATGGAAAAGGGTTGAAAGAAATCAATCAGATAAATCTCTGATTGAACTATGGGATGTGAACATAAGAAATAGGGTGTTGGTACTTACCTGATACGCCCGTTCTCTGTGAGCTGTGAAGAGCATCCAGTGATGGGAAGGTGCTTCAGTCCCTTCTTGGAAGGCTGGGCTTAAACTTGAGGACACTCCTCCTCCTCCACAAGACTCCTCCTTAGCGTCCCCAGTTTTGCAAAGCCAAGGTATTGATACCCTACATGCTTAAGCCTATATAATAACCCTGGCCGGAATAGACCCCCTACCAGACGGAATAAAAGGGAGGGGCTGGATGCTCTTCACAGCTCACAGAGAACGGGCATATCAGGTAAGTACCAACGCCCTTTCTCCCATGAGCTGTTCAAAGCATCCAGTGATGGGACATACCAAAGCTTGGCACTGTCCTAAGGGAGGGACTCCGTCTGGGTTGCAGACCTAACTGTCTCTGAAATAACTTGCTGCAAAACTCGCCTACCAAATGAAGCCTCAGCAGAAGTAAATACGTAAATTTTATAATTTCTAATAAATGGAGATGGAGAAGCCCAGGTTGCAGCTCGGCAAATCTCCTCTATTGTAGCTTGGGTCACCCATGCTGCTGTGGTGGCTGCACTCCTGGTGGAGTGAGCGGTAATGCCTTGGGGCACTGGAATCAAGTGAGAGTCATACAACTTAGCGATGGTGGCCCTTAGCCATCTACCTATGGTAGAGGGTGAAACCTTGCACCCCAGGGTGTTAGGCTGAAAAACACAAAGAGGGCTTCTGTCTTTCTGGAGGGCGCCGTACGCTCTATGTAGATGCGTAAGGCTCTTCTTACATCCAAGCGGTGCCATTGGTGTTTGAGCCTGTGTGATGGACGTCAGCAAAAATTTGGGAGCACCAGCTCTTGAGCTCTATGGAATGCCGAATTAACTTTTGGAATGAAGGAGGGATCTGGTCTGAGAACCACTCTATCCAAATGGAAAATGCAGAGATCTTTGCACACCGATAATGCAGCTAGTTCAGAGATTCTTCAGGCAGATGTAATTTCTATCAGGAAAACTACTTTGTAGGTTAGAAATCAAAGCGTCGTGGTCCTTAGTGGCTCGAAGGGACCTGTAGTAAGAGCCAATAGTACCTTATTTAAGTCCCAAGTTGGATATTGGTGCACTATGGGGGGCCTCAAGTTCTTGGCACCGCACAGAAAACTGCGAATGCGAGGGTGATGAGATTTGGAGGTAAGATCATCCCAAGATATGACCGAAGCCAGGGCCGCCACCTGTCTCCACAGAGTATTGGGTGATAACCCTTTGTTTAGGCCCTCCTGTAAAAATTCTAATAACTGCACTACTGATGGGGAAGTGGGGTCGATCTGAATCTTCTGACACCAACGGCAGAAGCTAGACCAGATGGCCTCATAGATTCGGTTCGTTGAAGGACGTCAAGCCGACTGAATAGTGTGAATAACTTGAGTAGAAAGGTGTTCATCTCTCAGATGTTGCCCTTCAACTTCCATACGGCTAAGTTTAGCCCTTGGGGGTCCGGGTATAGCACTGGGCCTTGAGACAGCGATATGACTGATGATGGGATCCTCCACGGTGGTACTGAGAGGTCTTTCAGGTCCGCGAACCATGCTCGCCTTGGCCAATAAGGAGCCACTAATAGCAGATCTAATAGTAATAGTAGCTTTTTCTTCCAGTAACTTCTGAATCAATTTGGGGATCATGGGGAGGGGAGGAAAGGCGTATAGCAGTCTGGTGGGCCAGTGACATCTGAGGGCATTCACGTCCTCCGCTCCCTGTGATGGGTAACGAGAAATGAATCGGGGAAGCTGTGCATTGAGTGGGGAGGCAAACAGGTTGACTACTAGTTGGCCCAACCTCTGAGTAGCCTCCAGAAAGATCTTGGAGTCCAGACGCCACTCTCATTGGTCCAACGTGGCTCTGCTGAGCCAATCCACTTGTACATTCGCTACTCCAGATATGTGCTCTGCCTTTAGAGAAAGAAGATGGATTTCGGCCCACAGGAATAGTCTTTCTGCTTCCCTCATTAGTAGATTGGAATGAGTGCCCCCTTGTTTGTTGATATGGGCCTTTGTAGTTATGTTGTCTGTTAAGACGAGCACGTTTGCAATGGTGATGCAGGAGGAATTGTCGAAGTGCCAAGTACACCGCTCTCAGTTCTAGTCAGTTGATATTGTGATATCCGTCCAAAGGCCTTGTGCTGTATGTGATTGGAAGTGGGGCCCTCATCCCACTAGACTGGTGTCTGTTGTAACAATCGACCTGTGTGGATCCTTGAAAGGGCATCCCTTGTTGATTTCGGGTCGTGTCCACCATCGTAGAGACCTGAGAACAGTTGATGGAACTTTTATGCAAATCCTGGCGTTGTCTCTCCCGGTGCGTTGGTATGGCAACAGGAACCACTGCAGGGTTCTTGCATGGAACCGGGCCCAAGGGATAATAGAAATACAAGAAATAATTTTTCCGAGCAATTTAGAAAGGAGACATAGTTGTACTTTCCTAATAATTCTGATCTGTTGAGCCAAATCTCTAATACTTTCTTGTCTGTCAGGGGAGAGGAAAACTTTGCCTTCCAGGGTGTCAATGATGGCACCAAGGTGAATGCGTCTAGTAGAGGGTGTTAAATGACTTTTTGACCAATTGATTGAGAACCCATGTTGTTGTAGGGTTACAAGTGTAGTTTGAATATTTGAATTTGCTTGATTGATGGAAGATGCCAGAATAAGAATGTCATCCAAGTAGCATTGAAGTCGGATGGACCTATCTCTGAGTGATGCTGCCAAGGCAGCCAAGGCCTTTGTAAAAGTTCTGGGAGCTGAAGCTAGGCCAAATGGGAGAGCAATATATTCGTAATGGACGTTGTTGTAACAGAAACGAAGGAATTTGAAATGTGAGGGCCTAATTGGGATATGTAAGCTTCCGTGAGGTCTATGGAGGTAAGGACATTGTTTTTTCTGATGCTGAGTAAGATGGATTGGAGAGTGGTCATTTTATATTTTCGGTAAACTAAATATTGGCTTAGACGTTTTAAGTCCAGGATTGCCCTCCATCCCCCTGAACTTTTAGGGACCACGAAGAGCTGCGAATAAAAACCAAGACCATTTTGATTAGAAGGGACGGGTTGTATGGCCCGGATCTCTAGTAGATGTGCTATGGCTGTGTCCATGAGAAACCTTTTTTCTGCGTCCCTGGAAATTGGGGACTTCATAAAAAAAATCTGTGTGTGTGTGTGTGTGTGTGGAGCTGAACTCCAGTGCCAGACCAAATCGTACTGTGTTCCTGACCCATGCGTCAGTGGTAGAGGAGTCCCATTGGTCAGTAAACCTTTTTAGGCGACCGCCAATGGGAATCTCGTTGTGGTCGTTACTTGGACCTGCGGAAGGGTCTAGATCCTGTTCCTCGAAATTGTCTCCTAGGATGGAGTCCCCTTCTATATCTGTCCCCAGGTTCAATTCTATCTGTCTGTTGACTGAATCCAGGCTGTCTTTGAAATCTTGGATAGTAGGGTTGGTAGAAGGGGCAAAAGGAACCCCTACAAAAGGGCTGTGGTGATTCTGATCTTTTTCGTCAACTCTGATCGACGAAAAAGAGAGGGAAGAATTTTCTTTTTGGTTCTGGTTTCAATTAGGAGTGGTTCAAGCACGCTGCCAAATAGTTTGTTCTCCGAGATGGGAGCTGAGGCAAGCCGCCATTTGTGCTTGATGACTGCCTGCCAATGCCTGAGCCAAAGTAACCTTCTAGCCACAATTTGGGAAGCAATGGCCCTAGAGGAAAATTTAACTACATTGAAGGTAGCGTCTGCTGAAAACTCTGCAGCGGTGATTAATTTAGCCACATCTTGATGTGCCCTAATGTTTGAGGCTGGAATGGTATCCCTCAGGTGGCGGAGCCATCTGAGAGATGATCTGGTGAAAAAGGAGGCGTCTGTGGCTGCTCTGATGGCCCATGCATCCGAGACGTGTGACCGTGGAGGGCTAGTTCCACCCTCTTTTCCTCAGGCTTGAAAGCATCTTAAGCTTCACTTGGGATGGCTGAGGAAGATGCAAGCGCAATGATAGGCTCATCCACTTCTGGAGTGTTTAGAAATTTAGAGAACTCGAGTGCCAAATTATAGTATTTTTTATCATGTCCTGTGGGAGCGGGATATGAGGCTGCTGCAGCCCATTGTTTTTGTACTAAATTGGAAAACATGTGTGGCACAGGGATAATCTCTGCCTCAGTGACTGGTTGAGAGAATATGAGATCCTCTGCTTCCCCTAGAGTATTTGGTGGGGGAGGGGTACCCGTATTATCCAGCCGTGCGGTGTTCTTGGCCTTAAACAGCAGGGATTTAAATAATTGTGGGCGGAATAATCCTGCAAATACGGGGAGGTCAGGTGAGAGGCCTTCATCGTCAGACATCCTCCTTTCTAGCGGATCCACCTCTGACAATACCTGGTCAAGGGTGTGTACCGACCCCTCTTCCATTTGATCCATTGGATCCCCTTGATCTCCCATATCCTTTGTGTACTGAGGGTTTCTAACAGTGGGCAACAATAGTTCTGCTGGGGGGGGGGGTACCTGATGAAGATGTAGATCCATGATGCCCAGAGATCGTTCAGAAAGAGATCTGCAAACCGAAGCTGAGGGTGTTCGCCCTGCCTGAATAGCCTGTTGGACGCCTGCTGATATGCCCTTCTGGATAGCTAGCTCCATCCATGCCCTCATGTTGGCAGGGATTTCCTCTTGAAGTTCCTCCTCTTGTCTGAGGCCAGCTGCAGTTGGTGTAAATGTTGCCTCTGGGGCCCTCCTTGGGGAGAGAATGTTAGAAAGAGCCTCCTGGGGAGGTTGTATCGATATGCTGCTCCTTCTGGATAAATCCAGAGGGGAGATTGGAGGGTTCTGGGCCTGTGAGGTAGAAGGTATGATGAGTGGTGAAGAGGTGGGTTGTGCAGCTGCTTGTGTATGTTTTTCCACCTGCCTTTCTAATGCCTGATGGCGTCTGCCTGCATCTTTATCTCCTGCCTTAGAGGTCTCTTTGGGCTCCGTGGACTTATCTCTATTTTTAGCAGTTAGTCTAGATCTGGAGTTGTAGTTGCTGGCCATGGTAATGCCTTTGATAGAAATGGAAAGAGGCTATGAAATTAGGTGGCTGGAACACCTAGGGGCCTGCTCCCTTAAGGGGCAGGGGATCCTGGAATAAATAGTTCCCCGATGCCTTTAGCAAATGTTGTCTCCTTGTTCCATTTTGCTTTGTTATCTATTTATCTATATTTTAATAACTTAAAGATTTGTAGAATTTAAGTCAATCAAGTCGATTTTTGAATAAAGTACTTGTAATATTAAATATGGAGACCAGAACACCTCCCTCCAGACCTGGCACCTATATGAGGGCACAGATGTCTGTAACTGATAATTAGGTCAGTTTAGCTGCACTTATTGCCTGTGGAATCCAGCAGTTCAAGTCCTCTATCATCCAGTGGACTGGTGGTAGGAACTCCCCCTTCCCAGGTCCCCAAAAAGGGAAACCTTGTTGGGTAACTTGCCTCACAGACAGTAACAATTACTCAGCAAATTTAACCACGCAGCCTTTAAAATGCTGGCTGCCTCGTGGCAAAATGAAAATGAAAGCAGCTATCACCGCCCAGCCTGCTGAAAGCAAAACCGCTCAGCAGGAAGGTGCAGGGGCTAATTCCGTACCCTGAGGTGTTCTGCGGGGAAAGCCTCATAATAAAAAGGGAAAAAGGCTGCACTTTTAAATGGAAGCTTCAAACCTCGAAGGGACATAAAAACGTAAAAACAAAACAAAACAAAAAACTGAGCGAAATGACTTTTGGAGGTTCCCAGGGGGGTAGTTGGTGTCAGAAACTATGGTATTACCTGACCTGAGAAATAAATCAGCTAAATCAGCTAAATCGCCAGTGTCTGTTCTGACCAGGAAAACAATAACACAACCTGTCTGAAGAAAGGCTGAGCTAAAACTGGGGACGCTAAGGAGGAGTCTCGTGGAGGAGGAGGAGTGTCTTCAAGTTTAAGCCCAGCCTTCCTAGAAGGGACTGAAGCACCTTCCCATCACTGGATGCTCTGAACAGTTCATGGGAGAAATGAGGTTTCACTAAGTCCTATATATAGATTCCTCTTTTGAATCATCAAAACAAAAACAAAAGCAATTAACAAACCAAATTATAGTCTGCAGTTTGTTTATTTCAGAAGTATACTATATTGGTGTTTCTTGTGAAAAATTCTTTTCAGAGACTACACTGCAATGAATACCACACAACATTATGAGGCGTCCTTGGTGCTCTCTGAGCTTGCTTGTTCTCATCTATTTCAACTGTTTTGGGAGAGTAACTAAGGAGTGTTGTTTGCTGTCAGTTTATATTCTGGTGACCAGCCTGTCTGTATGGAGGGGGGCTGTCTTAAAGATTCTTTGGTTGGGCACTCAGCACTCAGATCTGCATAGATTAATTTCAAGATCAACTTCAGACCAAGAATCAAGCAAGCTACACCCCAATCAAGAAACTGCCAAAGAGCCATTAGTAAGACACACTACTTTTGCATGATTAAGCTGTACTCATTTCAGAATGGTCCATATGATTTCTATACAGCAAAATCACTACTGCAATGGAGTGCAATTTAAAAAATCTATAATAATAGAGATTTGCAAAATGTTTTAGAGTCCAATTGTGTGACTCCAATTTAGCAAGTGTATCATTTATATCACTAACTAGCTGGATACCCATGCTTCGCGATGAAACTTTGTGATCAGGCTACGCAGGAGAAATTAAGTTCACCATCCATTGGCTCAGTGATGGTCGGTGATTGAAACACATAAGGGAATATCGCTCCTGCTGCCTTGAGTCCGGAAGCAGTTCCATAGGTGGAAGGCATAGACATTTTGGTGAGGTACCAATGTTTAGTACTGTAAGGAGTCCCAGACCGCTCCTGAGTGAAGGAGTGGAACATCTGCCAGTTTGAACTGAAGTAACGGAATGTGAGGCAACTGGCAGAAAATGAACAGAGTTATTTTCAGGTGTGGAGTAGAACTCCTTAGCATCAGAGCGTGTTAATTACTGTATAAGAAATACTAATGATCTGATGGTCACTTTGAAAAATCCTTTCTTACCAAGTACCTAGAAGCCAAGAGGAACATACGTGACAAATTTCAAGTTATATAAATATGGAATGAACCTTATACATGTAAGACATAAAACAGAGATGCTACCCATATTACAAAATTTTACCTCTTCATTTTCAATTTTCAATGTTGTTAGTCGAGACTGAAGTTGCTGATACCTAAGCATGAGTTCTCCTTGAATTGGCTGTTGGGCACTGACTTGAGAAACCTGAAAAAAGCAGGAAAAACTGAGAAATCATGTGAAAAGAGAAGAAAAAATGTACACAGTTGTAATGGGCTTCTACAATTGCTGTTGGTGATGCAGTGGTTAGAATGCAGTACTGCAGGCCAATTCTGCTGATTGCCAACAGTTCGATTCTCACAGGCTGAAGGTTGACTTATCCTTCCATTCTTCTAAGGTTGGTAAAATGAAGATCCAGAACGTTGGGGTCAATATGCTAATTCTGTAAACTGCTTAGAAAGGCCTGTAAAGGACTATGAAGTGGTATATAAGACTAAGTGCTATTGCTACTTTGCATAATTGATCAAAACTTCAATCATCAAGACACAGAATAAAATACATGGTGCTAATAATTTTCATTTAATTCAGTCTATAAGAGCTTACGTTAAATTAATATTCTTGGATATTCATTATGTAGATAATTAGATATGTGCACATGTCATGAATATGAGAATATGAAAATTGCTGTAGGTGTTTTCATATGAGACACTACAAAAAAAACAACCTGTGGTGCTGATTACCATGGATGTCTGGGTGTTCTCAAACTGGTATTAATTATACAGTAGCCACAACACTCCAACTGAAACAGGTGGGCTGACTGAATTGCTAAAAACTTGATTCTCAGAACTGCTTGAAATATGGCAACTCTCTGTAATATATGGCCTTCCCAATGCACTGGCGATACTATGTCTGACTATGAAATGATCAAAGATAAACTGAGGCAAAATTGTTCATTCTAGAATGGAGCTTAAAGGTAAAGGTAAAGGTTCCCCTCTAGTCATTTCCAGCTTTAGAGGGCAATGCTCATCTCCGTTACAAAGCTGAAGAGCCAGTGCTGTCCGAAGGCGCATGGTCTCCATGGTCATGTGGCTGGCATGACTAAATGCCGAAGGCGCATGGAACGCTGTTACCTTCCCACCAATGTGGTCCCTATTTTTCTACTTGCATTTTTACATGCTTTAGAACTGCTAGGTTGGTAGAAGCTGGGACAAGTAATGGGAACTCACTCTGTTACGCAATGCTAGGGATTTGAACCACCAAACTGCAGACCTACTATGTACTAATCTACAAAAAAACAGATGGCACACTAGGACACACCATATACCAGAAGAAAACACACACCTCAATGCCCAATCTCACCACCACCAAGCACAGATAAACTCCGTGGCCAAAACACTAATTGCCAGAACCAAATGCCTGGCAGACAAGACACACATAAAGACTGAACTATGCACCCTGACCAAAGTACTGACAGCTAATGGCTTCCACAAAAACAAAATCACGGGCCTGATCCACAAAAACATACTGAGACACAACAGAGACCCAGAAAATGAACAGACCTATGGAAGAGCTGTCCTGCCCTACATAAGAGGTACAACAGACAAAATCAGTAAGATACTACACAGGCATCACATCAAGACTGCCTTCAAAACAGACAGAAAAATAGCAGCCATCCTAAGAAACCCCAAAGATAAAATTGACCTGGAAAACCAAGGCATATATGAAGTCCCCTGAGCATCATGCCCTGCCACATACATCAGACAGACCAATAGAAGAATAAGTACCCGCCTTGATGAACACAAAAATGCAGTAAAGAAACTGGAACACACTTCCTCACTAGTCCAACACATGAAAGCCACAGGTCATACATCAACTTCAGTGGCACCAAAGCCCTAGCCACTATAGAAAACCCCAGGTACAGAGTTATCACAGAAGCCATAGAGATTGATAAAAGACCTAATAGTATGACTAGAAGAGATGACTCCACCAGACTGTCAATTATCTGGAAGCCTGCACTCACAAACAAAAAAATCTCCACACCACAAGCCAAACAAATACCTGGGCACAAAGAGACACCCCCCCCCCAATACCTCCAGCCCAAACACACCCCAGCCAGCCACCCAGATGAAACCTAGCTTCCTAATAAACGATAGCCGGCCATTCACCCAAAGCCAAGCCGCGCTAAAAGCCCCCAATATACGAAACACAATGTTGCCAGCTAATCAAGACAAAAAAACGCTATAAAACAGACAGAAGATATTAGAAACACCAATCAAGCAGAACACAGCAAACTCCAAGACCAATAAACACAGATCAAGACTCCCAACCAATCAGGATGAAGAAAAAACCATTCTAACAAAGCCCGAGGCTAGCACCAAATTTAAAACAGAAACGGCTGTGAAAGCCTGACACACAGACAAACCCAATACACAAACAAGCCTGATGAAGGCAGATGAGATTCTGCTGAAACGTAGTAGTCACCAAAAGGGAACACATGACTCTGTGATGTGATCACTGCAACCATCATAAATATGAGTCAATTGTCAAGCATCCAAATGTAAATCACATGATCATGGGCATGCTGCAGTATGAAAAATGGTCATAAATTACTTTTTTCAGTGCCTTTGTAACTTAGAACAATCATTAAAGAAACTGTTGTAAATCGAGGACTACCTGTACATAAAATTTTCTTCAATTAGTTCAAATTCAAAGTTCAAAGCCTTTATTGTCATTGTAGATCATGTATACAACAAAATTGGTTTAGCTCTACCAGTGCAGTCCATACAAGAATACAAGACAACATGAATAATATGAATAATAATCCTTATACAAGTAGTTAGGGGAAAATAACTAGTCGTACGTTTCCATATGTACATTATATTCTGTGCAACATGTATATTACTCTGGTGTATGATCTTATTTCATGGTATATACATATTACACACTACACTGGCAGCAGTGAAATTCGTCATATTAATCTGTGGTGCTATATTGCATTTAGGAGACTGAAGCCCGTGGTTAGAAGCTGTTTTTAAACCTGCTTGTCCGGCTGTCTATACTTCTGTGTCTTCTGCCCAATGGTAAAAGTGAAAAGAGATACTGGCCAGGGTGTGAATCATCCTTAAGTATCTTCCTTACTCTGCTGAAACAGCGAGACATGGCGATGTCATCCAGTGGTGTTAGGGGGCAATCAATGGTTTCTTGTGCCGAATGAATCACTCTCTGTAGTGCCTTCCTGTCAGCGGCTGTTAAACCAGCGTACCATACTGTTACACAGCATGTGAGGACACTTTCTATACTGGACCGATAAAAAGAGGTCATCAGCCGTTGTTCCACCTGATTTTTCTGCAGGACTCTAAAGAAATGAAGTCTCTGTTGAACCTTACTAACCACCAGGGACGTGTTGTTTTTCCAGGTAAGGTCTTGACTAATGAGCACTCCCAAGAATTTAAAAGAGGAAATTCCACACTCCCCACCCCCTTGATGGGGCAGGTGAGGAAATCCAGCACCATCTCCAGCATCATTATCATCTAGATCAATCTGGCTTTAATATAAACTGTTAACAAATCTTTGTTAGCCATAATGTTCCTTAAATATACTTAAACCCTTTGAAACTTGGGAATACAACGTTTAAAACAAATATTAATTCAATTTAATTTTGAGGCTGGGTTTTGAAAAGCTAAGTTGAATAATAACATTGAACATAGTTATGGACCAACTAAAGCCCTGATACTACTTAACAGTTATGACTCAGATCCTATCATGATTTTAAGAGGTAGAAAGTTGTCCTTTATGACCTTTAGTATTCAACTTAGCTACAGAAGTGCAGGCAATAGCACTAAGATCCAATAATCAAATTAACAGGCTAAAAATGGAAGGTGAGAATTATCTTTTAAATCTATTTGCAGATGATGTGAACCTGACTTTCTCAAATGCTTAAGAAGGAGTTAGGGGTATTTGCTGAGGTGTCAGGACTATCATTTAATTTTCATAAATCACATTTGATATTTTTTATATAATCTAAAAAACTAAAAAGGAAATGTTCAGTTTTAGAGATTCTAATAGTATATTACTATTGCTAAAGTATTAATAAAATATTTACAAATAATTATGTACCAACATTGAAGAAATAAAACAAAGAAATGAAAAACTGGACTTTAAAATATTTCAATATTTTAGGGCAAATTGCAGTGATAAAAAATGAAAATTATTGCATGGCTTAATTTTTTATTTCAATGCCCAATGGTAATTGGTGAAAAGAAGAAAAAAAAAGAGAAGAAGAAAAGAAACTTTTGTTTTCATTGGCAAAAACTGCGGGCAAATAAAAGGATTTTATATAGACCTCAGAAATGGGGTCTAGGCATGTCCAACTTGTTAAAATATTATTAAACATCTCAGGATTCCACTTATTATTAAGAATGCACTTTGCTGGACATGTGCTCTGCATGAGTGAGCAACATTCACCAAAGACCACAATCAATTGGATATTACCATATGGTTGGACAAAAAGAGGAAGGTCAAACCTGGCGCCAAACATTTAAAGAAGATCTGAAAAACATCAACTTTAAATGGAAGGATGCAGAGGTTGTAGCTGTAGACCAAAAGGTGTGGAGTATGCTTGTAGCCCAATGTGCTTAGCACAGGATGTGATAATATTTAGAACAAGCAAAAGGAATAATTTTTTAAATGTATAGGTTATGTCTGCAATCAGAAATAGGAGATCCACCAATATAGTTTAAAGGAAGCTTGGAATACTGATCTTGGTAATCCCATAAAGAAGACAATTCTTCAGAAGTTATGGAAACTGTGTTGATTCACTTCAGCCTCAAAGCAAGAATATCAGTAGAAAATTACATATCATTGATACTTGATTTCTGTTAGATTGGTACATATATATCCAAATTATTCTTCCATATGTTGAAGAGGTTTATCAAAAAAAAGGGTCATTTTTTCATTTGTGGTAGAATGGAATAAAATCATAATCTCTGGGCATAAAATATTTGGGCAAATAAGTATTATCACTAATGGAATGTTCCACAGAGCTAGGTTTACTACACTTTTTATATGACCAAAGCTTCAAAATAAAGAAACTTATTTAATCTTAACAACCCAAATAAAAATTGTGCAATTGTGACAAGCAATCTGTAGGCTTCAACACATTGGAAGCTGCTGTTACCTTGTGAGGCTTTGCCAGAAGGAAGCTAGGCCAAGAGTGAGTAAAATGATATGTGGTAGTGTGTGAGGCACCCAAAAGAGAGATGGGAGAAAATAGGCAGCTGAAGCACCCTGTGGTCATAAGTGTAGATGGATTCTCAAGGCTCACATTTTGATTGTGTGACTGTGAGGGCAGTGCAATCACTATAGCTTTGGGGAACAGTCATAAGTCCATTTTTTCAGCACAGTAAGTTCAAACAGTTATTGAATGGATGGTCACAGGTTGACAATTACCTTTTGACAAGATTTGGTTTTAGAAATTTCTTTGGAGTTATATAACAGGAAAATATGGAAATGGATGTTATGAAGGCTTTACAAGGATAGAATGATATTAATTCTCTATAAATTATATACTGCTTGAAGAATTTACTTCTTCCAAACTGGATAAATTTTCTACTATAGGAATATTGAGCGTGGGACTATTTAAACATTTAGTCAACAATTACTGACCTCATCACCCATATGGGACTGAAACTCAAATTTCATTGGAGGACAGAAGGCTGTAGGATACATTTCCATGAATCTCTGCTTGTCATTTCGAGGCTCCAGATTGTCAACAGCATTTTCAATGATGTCCAAGCCCTCATGTCGTGAAGTTTCAAGGTTATATTCTGCAGAGAGATATGTTCTTAAGGCTCTGTTCAGGCTTGCATGATATCCAAGATCGCAACACTAACAGAATATCCAAAAGAAAAAAATACATTTAGAAATAAAAATCAAATTTCAATGCAATAGCTTAATGCAACAGCTACCATATTCATATATAATAAAGCTTTGTAGTTTATTTAATAATCAATAGGCTGATGTTATTAAATATCTTAAAATAAAAGACTTATATAATAATTATGGAATAATTACTGGATAAAGAAGAACTGTAATGGAAACTGTTACTAAAGCTATGTTGTTTTCTATGCTTCTCACAATAATTTTATGATAAATTGTCATCGATCTTAATAGATATCACTATCACTTGTATGCAGATAATGGTGAGATTTGAAAGAAATGTCACTTAATCTAACATTATTGCATTGACTGTAGGCATAACAGTCAATAATAGTATGAAGTGACTTTCAGAAATCTAATCCAATATAGAATATATTATTATTGTTCTGATAATATTTTGACATATCAAATTACACTGTCCTGTATAATTGGCAGGCTTAGCAGACATAGGTTCAAAACATTGCCATAAGATTTGTACAGAGTTTGAAATTATTATTTTACATATTTCAAGTAAAACTTTAAACTAGCAGAATGAATCTCTAAGTTACTGTGTGCATTTTAGTTGTCTTCTAAACACACTCATTAATTGGATTGTTTTCTGAGAAGATTTCCTAGTTTTTGAAATAAGGATTATTTACATAATGCTATTTCAAATAAATATTAAATCTGTTTTAAGTGTACCCTTAAAAAGTGAAGTGTTGATAGTCTGGCTCCCAAACAGGAGCACATCTGACGGCAAAACACAACTTATATTATTATATAACATTTGAAACATATTACTGCATTTTAAGCAGGGTGATAAAGTATTAATGAAATATGAATATTTAGAAATAGGGAAATCAGTTTGGAAATCAGGGCAATTTGGAAGTTAACAATAAACTTAAATCTTGGAATTTGAAAAGGATATTGAAGAGGCTATGCAAATGCCTATTTACTTACTAATTTAAATGGATTTATCTATATGATTCCACCTGTAATAAGTTAGCAATGTTAAAGATTTACTTAAGAAATACTCATGATCAAGAAGTAAACAATACTTCAATCAAGGGATGTCGAACAAGTTCACAGTAAACAGCCCAACCAAAGTACTATGACCACTCCAACCAACACTGACAAGTTTCTAGAACAGGGGCATCAAACTCAATTTTATTGAGGGGCGCATCAGAGCTGTGGTTGACCTCAGGGGACTGGGTGAGTGTGGCCAGTGGTGGGATTCCATTTTTTTTTTTACTACTGGTTCTGTGGGCAAAGCTTGGTGGTAATGTGACTGGGTGGTCATGTGATTGGGTGGGAGTGGCCAACTTGACTTCACTCACATCAAGGGGCACCTTGCCTGGCCTCTCCTTGCCTCAAAGGCCTCAATGAGATACAATTTCCCTGTCTATTTATTTACTACTACTGAACATCCAAAATACACTATTTAATCCTATGTATATATGCCATATGTTTACATACATATTACATAGTATAGGGCAGTGGTCACCAATCAGTGGGTCGCAAGAAAATTTTGGTGGTGTGCAGAGAAATGTCACCCCCAAAGCACCCCCCAAAGCAATTAATCCAGGCTGTGTGGCAACACAAGGCTGCGCCACCCACATGACCTGCGGAAACACAAGGCTTGAATTGCTTGCATTGCAAACAACATGAGGTAGTGAGGGGAGGGGGGAAAGGGCAGAGGGGGGGAACTTGTCCCACTTGCTTCACACGCCTGGCCTGGCCACCAAGCTGCTTCTTTCTTCTTTTACTTTTGGCTGCACACAAGGAAATCAGCAAAAGTCTTTCTTTCTCTCCTCCAAACTCTGCTAGAATTAGTATTTGGGACCCTTCAAGGCATCCTGCTCCAAGAGGCTGCACCAGTGCGACAAGTCTCACAAAGACGCATTTCTGGTGGAATTTGGGGAGAGAAAGAAAGACTTCTGCTGCTTCTGCTGCTTTCCTTG